GGGGCTAATGCATCCACGCCCAGCAGTGCGCCTGATGTCTCAGACAAGGATGTGTATGGCCCGCTCGACGAATGTCTGAAGGAGCTGGGTACCAAACAGAACAAGGACCTCTGGGTGACCCTGGATATAAAAATTAAGACCCCCGATCAGGAAATAGCGAAGGCTGGAGAAGCAGAGGAAGTGTGTCTACGCGAAGTGATTCAAAGTCGATATATTTTGATGAACGATGTAGTGTTTGTGTGTGATTTACAGTAAGTAAAGGATTTTTTTATGTGAGGTGTAGCGTATGTGTGTGGGACAATTGGATCACGTTTTCGTATATGAGAGGTGTCAATGTGAGACGAGGAGATTCTACACTATGAGTTGACCTATACATGTTTTACGTGAGCGTGTCTGTATGAAATTGACTCTTTTGGTACTAGGTGAAGCTCGCCTGCGTCGCACAACATTTAGGTGGTAGTCTGAAATCCCTTGATGACAATACCATTTTTATATGGGGCATGGTTTTCATAGTAGGCGATGGGTTGCCTTCGTATAGTGTGCTGTTGTCATTTGAGTGAGCGACATACGTTGGGCTTATGATTAAAGAATATACGGACACGTATATGAGCTCGTGTACATTAAGAATTGTTCGTGAGTGGTTGCATAGGACGTTAGTGCAAACGAATCAAGCGCGGAGTCTGTTGCATTCCGTCTTTCCTGAACCTGGAATCTAGTATCAAAGCTATCACATGCGCAACCAAATGATCCACGATCGCTAGTGAGCACCAAAAAAAACTTGATGTGCGGACATCGATAAGATCCATATACATTCCAACTACTTGGACAAGTTTGAATCGATTTGTGAAAATTCAGCTTTCTTTTTAATAGTTTGACTCTTTGTTTGTATTCAGTCCTCTCCACAACTCAGCTCACCGATCATAGTGCACACTCAACCCAAAGCCACCTTCTCCAGGAAGAGAGCGTCGGTATGTCCTCTATCACCAACTTATGTGACAATTAAGTTTTCAAACAGTTGAACGGTTAATGAACTTATATGAACCACCGCAGTCATGAACCCCAGAAACCTTAACATCCTAAGCCTATATATACACTAGAGATATAGTTCTGGATGGCAAACATTGTCATTTCTGCCCTGCAATTTAACAATATACAGAATATGTTGGCATTTGATCGTATCTCATGAAAACAGTATGCATGCATATATTTATGTCTGTATGTGTATGC